GGACTTCTTTTGGAGGTTGTGCTTCTTACAAAAAAAAATGTTTCAACAGAGTTATACGGACGAACCACTGAAATTCAACACTAACTTATGTGTACGGTCACAAGTATGAATTGTCAAGGTGTCATAAATTACGACACATGTCGCTAGTGACGATAGACACCAACACATCTTATCATAAAATCAATTTGACTGTAAAACGTTTGTACTGTCGATTTCAGTTGTTCTTCCTTATATCTCTGTTGAAACAGATTTTGTGTTAAGATACTGTTAATGAAGTCAGTATAGTGTGAACATGCACTAGCGTAACGTATAAACTGAAAGATATAAATGCCATACGACGGCGCAGAGGGTATGTTACGGAGGAATGGAAGTTGACAATTGGAAAGTTGTAATCATCACGTAAGTCATATATTCCAATCTAAAGTCGTCCGTATGTGTTAATTTCGTGAAAAAGATTAAGATATGACAAAAACTTCTACTTACGGTAGTACCATAAATCTAGAGTGACTAGACATCATCAATATATCTCTAAGTCAAATTCTAGAACTTTGCAAGATGATTTTTCTTGATGTCTTTGAGAAGGTTGTGTTTAAATTCTGCTTGATATGAGTAAAAAAACAAGTAAATCAGTAGAGGTGCACAATTAGTTCCTAATGGAATACCAACTGTTTGTTGCAATATCAACAATATTAACACTAAACGTCAAACATCGTGATGATACTATTTTCGGTGAATATTTTGTCGGAATCAGTGTGATTCTTCCCAAATTTATATATTTTATGACCTTAAACAAAGAATTTAGATCTACGTTCCTAATTTTGAAGAAACGCTCTATAAAATGAGGTTGAAGATTTTTTGAGTAGATATCTAGAACTGAATAATTGCTTTACATTCCGCTAGGTGTGTTTTTGAACGTTGTATTTCTGCCAAAAGAAATCATAACGAATCATTCAATGCATATATGGTTATAACAAGGTTCTTAGAAAGACCGCTATATTAAAAGGAAATATTTTTCTTTGGTAAGATTGTCTGTGTAGTAATTTCAGTTGGTAATGCAGACCTGATTTTCCCTACATGAACGGTGTATGGTGTGGTAAGTCCAGTACATCACCAGTTTATTGTTGTGAAAGGCCTGAGTGCACTTATATATGGTGGTTTTCCAGAAAACTCGTGTTAAATGGTATGTTTTAACCGTCAGTCCCATAAAATAGTATCGACCTAATAGCCAGATATCGGTATTTGCACAATTTGAATGAATGTACTTTATTAGATTAATCATGCAATCAAAATTGAAACTCAGACTGCAGCTCTCACCTTGAAAGTTGTTCTTTTGGTTTGGTGCTTTGAAACATTTTATTCTCTTGTGAATTTAATGAATGTTTTCAGAAGTACATATTTAAAACGATTATTTAAAAAATGAGACTTATTTAGTCTTGCTTACAAGGAAGCTAATAAACCAAGAGTTAAAAGTGGTGAAGTTGAAGTCAGTCATCCAATCGATAATTTTCCTGAAGCCATCACGAATGGTTGACGGATATGAAATATCTGTGTCCCAGATGACAACAAAACGTTCCAATTGTCAAAAAGAAATAATCATAGATACCAGGATTAAAACTTTGTACGCATGACGCGGGTTTAAATAGTTAAAAAGGCGAAACCACGATCATTCCGTCCTCTTTTCCCCGAATGTGACGAACCTAAGTATACTTGTCACTAAATTTGTACTTACATGAGCAACACGACTAGTACAACATGTGTACCAGGATCTGCTTACCCTTCCGGAGCATCTGAAATCACTCCAGTTCGTGCCGGATTTCGTGTTGCTCATTCTTTTTTATGTTGTGTTTTGTAGAGTGTTGTTTGTCTTTTGGTCTTTTCGTTTATTGTTATGGCGTTGTCAGTACGTTTACGACTTATGAGTTTGGATATTCCTTTGGTATTGTCCGACTCTCTCTTAATCAATTATACTGTAAAGTAGCTAATGAAAGTATACACGGTACTGAAATAGTGCACTGAATTAACTCAATTATGACAAAATATTTTGAAATCAGATGTTAAAATCCTTGTTTAAATCTGATTATATTTACTAGTTAAGTAAATCATTATTCAATCAAATAATATGATGTACTTTTTCTATTATTTCTAACATACATTCTTAAATTCCCAGTTGGTAAATTTATCTATTATTTCAGCATATTAAGATTCAAACTCCCTTGAGCAAAGTTGACTTAATATGAATTTTGCAATGTTATTTTTGTATAAACTGCTCCGGTTTTCAGTTATGTATATCTGCGCGTTCCTTATGAACGTAACTCAGAAAAGCGCTTTGGACGGACGAAATTTATAAATTCATAGATCGTATAGGATTTGCATATTTACAAATACTTAAATCGAATTGGCACGTTATCATTTATTTTTCCCTTAGTTTACACCTCGAAAGACTATGTTGCCGAAAGTACTTTCGTAATATATGTGAACTCTGTCGATTTCAACCTAATCTATTCATGGGAGATACACATTCATGAGATCTTGTGGTTCCTAGCAAATTGAAGTTGAAAAAAGAAACTACAAACATGTACTCCTTTTCTTATGCAACGCAAACAGAAATAATGCCTTAGAGGTTGGAAAATGTACAAAATTAGAATTAAATTAAATTCTGCGAAATTTCATTAATGATAATGTCGCATTGACGTCATGAATAAATATGACGTCATACGAACGAAAATACTGAAGCTGAAGTTTATTCCGTAACGCATTCCGTTCAAATTCGGATAACATCTGATTTAATGGAGTGTTTGAGGTAGGTTTTGTTTCATTTTAGATTTCTACTGCATTAACCGAACATTATTAGATTTCTGCAAGTCAATATAGCTGGTAATTCCTTATTTACAACTTTTTGTCAACTGTTGATTTGACTAAATATTAGCAAATAAAAAACATTTATTAATTAAAAATCGCAATATTTATGTTAAGAATAATATGGATTAAACACATAAATTTGTTACCTGGGTCGCTGACTAACAAACTTTACATTTAGTCTTTTGGTCTTTTATCCAGTTGGTGAATTACGCAATCCAGTTTACAAACCACTAACCTGCATATTGATTAATTGATGTTTGTTTAACGTCCAGTGGCAAGAATTCCATGCATGTTCAGGACTTGAAAAAATTTAACAATAAATACAATAGGTAGGTCCTGTAATAGAGGCCGTTCGGAATGAACGTCGGGGAAATTTGGACTGCCAGTGGAAAATGAGGGTATATTGGATAGGGACAGAATTTGTGTTTTGCAGCAGGCAACCTACGGACAACGATTGCAAGGGTTCTAAACTTTCAGAGATCATGGTTATCTCTCTACACTAGGCATCGGATTTAACGAGCCCATTCTAATACTTATACACCCGGACAGCAAAAAGGACGCCCCAATCAGACAAGGGTTTAAATGCCGGTCGGAAGAAGACTGAAGTGACCATATTTATATTCACCAGTCACTCTTGAGAAACAAATACATCACTATCCTAGGTTAGGGGGAGGGTTTGGCGCCAGCAAACAAGTTTAACTCCGCCACATTCCGAATCCTGTGAAAGCTGTACTATATACGGTGAATTGTGTTACTTTGGTTGTAGTTTTATTTTGGTTAAGTTGGCGCCTGCAATGAAAGTGTCAAAATTATACACACGAAAATAACGCAAACACTAAAAATTTAAACGCCAAAATCGCGTACCGGTATGACAATATCGTAATGTTAATTGTTGGGAATAATCAGTTAAGATGATACAAGGAAAATTTAAGGAAAATATTTTATGCTATTATATCTTCCGTATATTTCCTACAATTCTACACATAGCAAAATCTGAAAAATAAATACCGGGTCTAATTTGACAACAACACTATATAATTTTAACTTAAAGTTGTAAATTTTCTAAAATTGTTAAGAAAACACAATATGAGTTTCTATTCACACAGGTCATACATATTCCAGGCTATCGACATTTCTGATAAGACACCGTTATTGATCATTAGAATATCAACAGTCCTTGTGATCCTTGATCTTCAATAAATTAACATGTACTGCCAGAGGCATAATGATTACAATTTAAATCCTTGATCGTCAATAGATAAACATGTACTGCAAGAAAGATAATGATTAAAATCTATTTCATATGATATTTGTAATAAATAAATCATCTGTTAAACAGTTAATTAACATATTTTTTTTATGTATTTGCAATTACATCCGTATCCATTTCCTTCATTTAATTAACTTTGTCGTGTTCCTAATTTGTGTAGGTAATTGAAATTTACCACAGAACTCGGATATTTTGTCAATAAAAGGGTAAATAAAGGCAAATATAAATGAACTCGCTCACTACCATTGTGCCAAAATCAAACACATCAATTGGACGAAGCACCAAAATTACACACACCAAAATAAAACACATGCTTTTTGAGAGAAAACCGCCAAAATATCTCGACGCCAAAATTTCCCAATTCACGATAGATGTTAAATTCTACGTTACGTGGTCTCTGGTAGAGATTTGTTTCAATGGAAATCACACCACATCTTTTTTATGTTTCCAATAACTGTTAGAAAATGTGTTTAATCAAATTTTGTTTTTATCTACATGCATTTTCCCTTTATTTGACAAATGTTTTGCTGTTATACGTATCTTTAATAAACCGGTTTATATGTTCAACTATCCAGAAATATGATTTGTGATGAATAACCTTACCAAAATCAAAAGCCAAAATAAAAAAAAATCAATTCATCCGATGAGCACAAAGAAAAAATCGAGTGCATCGAAAAATTGAAAAAAAATTGCAATTCTTATTTCATTTAATTTGATTTCGTTTCTGATAAACACTGATGATAATTATCTGTCCATCCCTTTGTTAAATTATTAGCCAATGAAACTTTCTCCCCAACAAGTATTATTGATTTTCTGGAGGAAGTCTTTTTTCTTTCGTTTTCATCTTCCTAAAACTGCAGTGTATAATCATCAAGGTGGTGTGGTGAGCAGAGGTTACGACTGTAAATGTATCTCCATTAAAGGTAAGGTAAGGTAAAAGTTATCAGAAATCAAATATATATTACAGGTACAGCTTTACACAATGTTTCATAAGGTCAAGGTCAAGACATGTGCAATCTGTCTTCACATTGATAACAGATGAATACTTTAGTCTAGGTTAACGTGTCAATCCTGAATCAGATGTCATCATTACGATGTATATAACGTCAGAGTATCTCCACAGTTGTATCCTGTTTTGAATGGTTATTGTATATATGTATAGGTTCTGTAAAATGTATTATCCACTTAACTTTTATGACATAGTGCACTAAAGGCAAAATGAGAAGTTTTTTGTCTTCGAAAATCTGGTTATATCCCACAATATTTTGTGATTTACCTAGTCAGGATCCTGGAGCCATGTGTTTTGGTTAGAGTCGTCAATTGTGATGTCAAGTATTTTTGATAATTCTCATTGTCCCTTTTAAGCATCATGAAGTATACTATGGGGAATTTACTGTTTCATTTATCAAAGAGGACCAAGATGTAGGTGGTAAGTTTCGTCTATGTTTCGGTTTTGGTTTCTATCATATATAACTCCTCCAGTCCTTTTTCATTATCATGAAGTATACAAGGCGCTATTGTTGTTTGTTCTTATCACAGAGGAGGAGGATGTATGTGGTGGTAAGAGTCGTTTATTTTACTGTCAAATAATTTTGAGAACTCCTCCAGTCCTTTTCAATTATCATGAAGTATACCATGGATTAACTATTGTTTGTCCTTTTTCATTATCATGAAGTATAAAGTGACTGTATATTTCGACAGTGATAAATGAATTAATCATTGAGATATGGTTTATTTAGATTCGGATCTAACAACGAACTTATTACAATTTGTTTTTGTAGGTTCCGATTCCTTTGTCCGACTAAATTTACATTTATGACAATTTCAGAATGCGTTCGCTACCTGGAGACACAACTAATGAGACATACTATTTTTAATAGATTTTTTCTTAACAGACTTTCGTCTACATTAAACTCATCAGTGGCGCTCGATTAAAAACAGTTGGAGACCACAAATGAAATACGAAGTTAAATAGCATCATAAACCCCAAAATAGTAACGAAAAAGTTACCTGCACAAAGACAATGAAAGACATGTTTTATTTTAGACATCTTTTTATATTTTATGTAAATAAAGCAATCCAAGCAAGTAAATATACTTATAAACTGCGGTATGACTACCAATGAGGAAACTTTGCAGATAACTTTTAGGTGCAAACACATACAACAATTCCTAACTGCATTTGACGTATTTACACCGGTAATGGTTGTATCAAAACTAAAAATAGATTTCTAAGTAATATCACTAAGATTGAGTTTCGATTTCCTTTTAAGTACATTTATTCCAGTATTTAACACTTATGATGGGTAATGTTCGATCATATTGTTTTAATACCAACAAAGTAATATTTTCTCAGAACAAGACGTTTGAAATTCTTGTATAAGGACGTTTTGCTGTCTTTTTTGATTTTCCTTTAATTTCACTTTCAATAATCCGTGCGAGAGTGACATTTTCTAAATAAAGTTTGGCTATATTGGAAATGCAATATTTTCGACTACTCATCAAGTTTATATAAATATTGCGCTTATAAGCCTGGTATCTTCGACACGTTTTTAATGCACTGGTCAGACCGCTTTTGGGACATGCTAGAAATTATTGCGATATGCGACACAAATATAAGATTGTAAGCAAATGGTGCGCAAGACAATATACTATTATTCTATATCAGGAAACAGTTGTAGTTGTACTATTTATATGTATATGATTTGTCATGAACATTGACGTATAAGTAGTGAAATTATTTAGCATGTAACAAGAGTTGGCATGAACAATTTCTGCACATACTGTGCACCAATACAACTTTTACGTTCTGATTAAAATTAAGATTGTGGGTGTTGTAAGATTTCTTTAATATATGAATACATTACAAAAACAGACAGAATATTACAACAAGTTGAAAAATAAACAATTCAAAATGAGATAACGTTTATAGAATAATAACTGTTAATACGTGTAGTATGCATTTAGTTTCAGAAAAGGACAAAACTCATGATGTTTTAATCAGAACGGCCCTAATGATTTTGAATTAATACTTTGTTGAAATGTATGTCTAATCATCAGGAATTTTAACCAAGAAATAATATTAACTGTTGTTTTTTTCGTCTGATTTCATATACTAATTCAGCGATTTGTTATTTATTTAATGCTTTAAACGATTTAACTTTGAACTGACATAACTTTGCCGTCATCGATTTTGGTATAAAATGGTGTTGTTGTTTTGTCTAAACAACCTGTTGAAGTCACTGCTTGTCTCTTTTTATAGTTGCAAGGGTGTACTCTATGCTTTTTTAATCCTTCGATTTATGGTATTTTCATGGTTCAAAGTATGACTTTTATATAAAGGCAACAGTAGTATACCGCTGTTTAATAGTCATAAATCGATTTAACTGAAACAAATCCGGGTCACAAACCAAAACCGAGGGAAACACATCAACTTTAAGAGGAAAACAACGGAACAACATAAACACTGAACTGCTACAAAACCAAACGCCAACATACATAGAAACGGACTATTTGATAACAACTGCCATATTCCTGACTTGGTACAGGACATATTAAGAAAAAAATGGTGGGTTGAACCTCGTTTTATGGCTAGCCAAACCTCCCGCTTATATGGCAATGTTAAAATACCGCTAAAATGACAACATTACGTGACAGGAATACATTACAACTAAACGCAAGAACACTCAGAACAGAGACATACATGAATAACTAATATGATAATACATTAAAACATGTAAACCACAGAATAACAACGGACACCTCCCATTTACACCCAAATAGACATATGAACCGTGTGTCTCACGAATGTATCAACGCCACAAAAAGTGACGTCACAGGTAAATTCCAAAAAATAGAATATAAAATTGGGATTAAGTTTGTAATGGTGTTATTTTATGTATTTTCTAACCATTACAAGAATATTTATATAGAATTTAGTCCAAATAATTATGACGTCTTGAAAGGCTATTTTATTTTTTTTGCTTTGACGCCTTCCTGCGACGTCATAACGCCGAAGTCATTTTTTCAGTTGGACTGATAGAGAATTTGCTGTTTTATTTAAGCGTTTAGCTGAATTCTCCTCAAGATGCTTCACTTTAGGAGTATAAAATACATTTTTGCACCAAACTCGGTAAAATTTGACGGTCCTGAATTTCCGGATAATATAAAACAATCGTTCCGGAAATTCGGGTCTGTCAAATTAAACCGAGTTTGGTGCAAAATTTATTTTATACTCTCCTAAAGTGAATCAGCTAAACGTTATAAAAAAAACAGTAGATAATCGTCCGCCACGCATGGAATTGTAACTTATTTTAACATTACTATGGGAAATTATTGGAAATATTTTGCACTAACAAACGCATAAAAGGTAAGAATTTGTATATATGGAAATAATTCTAACTGTCAATGAAAATTTTATGGCTAAATGCGGTCTCAAGTTGAGAGCAAAATTCCCTCTCAAAATCCAACCAAAAAAGTAGCTTCAGCATTATGACGTCGCAGGAAGGCTTCAAAGCAAAAAAAGGGGCCTCGGTGGCCAGGTGGTCTAAGTAGTTACTACTGTAATCACTAGCCAGTCAACACTGAGGTTGTGAGTTCGAACCCCGCTCGCGCGGGTGCACTAGACTCCAATCTTAATTGACTAGGATTGTCAGTTTTCCTACCGAAGGTTGGTGGTTTTCTCAGGGCACTCCGGCTTCCTCCACCAATAAAAACTGGCCGCCATGAAATAGCCCAAAAGCGGTGCTTAAAAGTGGCGTTAATACACCAAAAATCAAATCAAATCAAAGCAAAAAAATAAAATAGCCTTTCAAGACGTAATAATTAGTTGGACTATATAGAATTGTGTTAGTAATGGTGTAATTATTTGTATTTTCTAACCATGTCGGGTTTTCTTCTAAATATATGTATTATTGATTGGAATATATCAATGAATGTATGAGACAAGCAAATATATCTTAATTGTTTTTAATTGATATAAACTTATGGTCCTTCTTCCTGTCGATACTATGTACTTATATTTTGACATTGCACATGTCATGCTTTTCTCAGACTGTTTATGATTTGCTGTTGATGTTTTTTTAATCCTTAATCTGTTTAATAAGTACCGATTGATTTTTCAGTCTGGGAGAACATGGTCTACCGATTAGTTGTTATTGGCTTTGAACCACAAATTGTAGCTTTCAGTAATCTTAGATCGGTACTTTGTGTCTCTCTTTTTATGTTAGTTGTTTTTCTTTTTGCTTCGTGCCAATCTTGAAAGCGATGAGTTTTACAGTTTGTTCTTATGCTGTACTGTTACACCATTGTCCCATGATCGGTTTAGGGATGAGCGCTCACAAACATGCTAAACCCAGCTGCATTCTGTATTTGCTTGTCCCAAGTCAGGGGCCTGTAAATGAATGGTTGTCGTTGGTTGCTGTCCGTTATGTCTGGGGTTTTTTGTTTATTGTTTTGTCATAAAAACTCATCAAAGATAATTGGTTGGTAAATTGTTAAGCCAAACGCGCGTTTCGTCTACATTAAAATCATCAGTGGCGCTCAAATCAAAACATTTGGAAGGACAAATCACATACGAAGCACCAAGGCCTTAAAAACCGAAAATTCCGAAAATTTGTGCCAAATACGAATAAGGCAATTTTTACTAGGGATAAACAAACCATAGTGTTTCGAATAATTCAGCAATTTATAAAAGTAGAATATGAATAAATCAATGATATATATATATATACATGTATGTCAGCACAAAACTGCTGACTACTAGGCTGCTGATACCCTCGGATAACGTTCCTTAGCAGTGGCATCGGCCAAGTGTTTGTAAAAACTCACCAACGATACGCGGCTGGTAATCAAATCAGACCGTTGTTTTTTCGTTTGAATTGTTTTACATTTTGTCATGTAGGGGGTCCTTTGTAGCTATTTATACTCAATTTTTGCTCATTGTTGATGGCCGCACAATGACCTTTAATTGCTTAAATTAACGTTGTTTGGACTTTGTTGGATAGTAGTCTCAGTTGTAAATATAATTCATCTCCTTAATTATAATATTAAAAGGGAAAAAATCGCCTGTTTAAACATAAAAAAAGTAACTTAAAAGGTTATTTAAATGTGGCCGTAAAACAGTACCTCAAATTGAGACACATACATATATATTAGAAACTCAACTTTGGAAATCTAACTAAAGGACACAACATGGTCAACTAGAGTCACGAAACGTTACTACATATATATGTAACAACGTATTTTAAAACGTAACTATAGGAACATGTAACTAGAATGTAGAAACAAAATTTTACACCTTTAATGCTAATATATAGTACATGATAATCCGTATATAATTTTAAATATTGAACATTAATATAAAACTTTGAATTTATTGCATACAAATATTTAATTCATAACCGAATCTAAGTAATCGTATCTTTCTTACAGACGTCATGAACGGAAACTCCAGAAATCAAGACAATTCTGATGATGGAAATCGTTTTGTCATGAAGAAAACCACGTACTGGGAAATAAACGGTGTAAAACGTTTTCCGTACCGTGGAAGGCGTAAATATACACCATTACTTCACCAATCTTTAGATGGAGGAATGATTATCTGGAACGACGTTTTTGGGCTAACAATAAGACAGTTTGAACGAGTGTATAAAGCTTGTTTAGAAAGAAGGAAAACAAAAGAACAGTGGATACTGAACCTTAGATATCCTGACAAATCTTCCAACGCATATCTGGAATACTTAGAGAACTGTACAGATTTTAATAAAGGTAATACATTTGTAATTTAATTTCTAAACCTCAGGTGTCAATTAGGTGTTGATGTAATACAAATGCAGAAACAGTCTTAAAAGGGGAAAAAATACCATGAATTAAATCGAAAACGATAAGCCAAAGACAAATAGACAACACCATGACTAAGAAAGGGAAACGACAAACAGACAACACAATGACTAAAAAAGGCAAATGACAATCAGGCAACAACATGGCCAAAAAGAGAAACAACAAAGACACTCATAACAATGCAAATTGGTAATACGTCGCTTTCGGCTATTTACAATCGGAAGCAAGTGCACGGGATTGACCAAATTGTCAATATAAATAATGTTTTTGAAGTAAAATCATTATTACGCTTTGGAATGCCTTCACCAGTGTGTTTTGAATAATTCAACAGTTGGTAAATAGTATATTTACAAAAAGGGAATGCATCAAGGATACTTCATATAAACATTTAACATTTAATAACAGTACATTTAATAGTTTTTTAATAGTAGGCCAATGACACCCCGATCGCAAGGACTAAGTAGCCAACATGATAGTATGTTCCATTGGTAGTCAATTGTCATACCTGGCTTTACATATACAACGCTAGACGTTCATTGCGTCTACATAACAATCATCATTGAAGCTATGATCAAAACGATTGCTTGAAATAAACCTAGGGGAGATAATTTTCTATATACAAACGTCATTATACAGTTTTATGATAGATAAGTAAATACATATATTTTTTATAGGTCATTTGCTTTGGTGGGAAAATCACCAGAGGGAAAAAAACTTATATGAACACCTAGTAAAAACAGTTGGTACTGAAATAGATATACGAACGAGACAACGACTTTTTATCATACAAGATATGATCGTAAATGCATGTTTGAATAAAACACAAATATCAAGTGGAAGTTTGGCGGAAGGACTTGATTTACCAGGCAGTGACATGGATATAATGTTCGTTAACGATTTCGCACACGTTATACATAATAAAAGGAACATCAAACACCCAATACATAATAATATATTTGTTATGGAGACAGATATTGATTATCCAGGATTTACTAAACTCCGATTGGTAGCAAGACATGATAAGAAATCAATAAAATTAACATGTTTCAACTGTCCACCAGGTTCATGTAGAGGTAATTACTATTTAGGAATACATCAATTTCTTAATGCATTAGTGCATCGGTATCCTAATCTGAAGGGAGTAATACACGGTCCATGTATATCAAATAAAGAACATACGATTGATATAGCAGAATGCCTACATAGTAAATATCTACCTGACAACGCAATTCCATGGGCATCCCGTCATCGATTGCAATGGCCCCCTAATTTTGTAATTGACAAGATCATAAATTACGGATGTTTGTTAGTACCTATAGGACCAAAGACTATACCAAATAATTGTTATTTATGGAGATTGTCTTTCTCTATGGCAGAAAAAATACTTGTACATTCGTTTAATTTTACTCAACTCTTATGTTACGGTCTACTCAAATTATCATTAAAGCGTATAGTTAACACAAACGATGACGCAAAAGATTTACTATGTTCTTACTTTCTTAAGACAGCTTTATTCTGGGTTTCGGAGGAAGTTGATATTGACACATTTCAATTAACTAACTTATATTATTGCTTTTCTCTTTGTCTTGAAAAATTAATATCATGGGTAAACACATGTTACTGTCCGAACTATTTTATACCCGAACACAATATGTTCCTAGGAAAGATCAATCAGACTAATAATACTATACTACTACATGTACTTGATAGTATACAGTGTGGAGGGATTGATGGATTGCTACATAGTTTATTTCCGCCTGACAATGAAAATCACCGTTTGTTAGGTACATATAGTGAATCTACGTTCATTCTGCTAGACTTTCTACTTTACAGAAATACGTGTTACACGATTGACACGATATCAAAAGACATTTCAAGTTGTTATAAAGCACTTTCATGTAGTGAATATTTACTAAAGTCCGAATCGTCTACGTTTATTATTGATGTATGTAAATATTATAAAAATATTATCAGTAAAGAAATAGCAAACTTACTACCACCACCAAATACAATGGATAACAACATACGCAAATGCTATCATAAACTTTTCAAACACATTACCAAGATAGATGCTGTGTCGGGTTGGTTGTTATATGCATCGGTTTATTATGTAACAAGACAGTTCAATGTAACACTTAGAATAACGGATTATGTTCTATCAAAATGGTCACCTTATTTGATGTTTATAGACTCTGGGGTTAACAGTGACATTCAGAAAATTAATTACAGACAGAATGTACATTCATCAATGACATTAAATGAAAAGCTGTCAATAGCCACTGCGCAACATGTCCATTACCGTAAGCACACATCATTAATACCAGAAGAACTACAGCTTGAGGTAGAAAGCGGAATGATGAACATACTACCAGATGTAATGTCTCACTGCCTTAGATTTTTATGTTATCATCATCTTGGTGATATATCCAACCGACGACAAGCATTACGTGATTTATATATAGCAGTGAAATATAATTATGTATCATTGAATACAATTTCAAATGCATTAACAATACTTGGAGTATGTTGTGAAATATCCGGGCATAAAGACATGGCCTATCAGTGTTTTGATGAAGCTATGCAATGTGATGACTATGTATGTCCTTCAGCAGAAACAAGGCAATCAAAACTTTTTGAGATTTAACATACACTTATAGCATCAACAGTAAATAGAAACTGCTATGTTATAGTATGTCAGCAGATAAAGATACCAAATATCTGTGTTACCTAGGGAGATATCTAAACTTGTATCATTTAAGTAATAGAGTTTTGTTTAGCTTATTTATGCGCGGTGTGTTCCTTAAATATAACTTATAACAAAATACACGTAATTGATACAAATAACATGAAGACACAACTCCATTTCTGATTTATAACTTCGTTGATTAGTTTATAAATCATTGAGAAACTAAGAATGGAACTTCATGTTAAGTTGATTTTTATACCCTGTGACTTGGATGGAGAGTTGTCTCATTGGCACTCATACCACATCTTCTTATTTATACTTAAAAGATTTCTTTAAAACCAATTTTTGTAATATTACCCCGGATTATTTCTTTTATACAGAATATAGGTTTATAAATAAATTTGATAGAAATGGAACATTTTGATTGCTTGATTTTGTTTTTCCCTCAGTTCAGCACATTTGCAGGAACTACTTTTTTCATTCATTGAGATTACATACAATGCCAATGAACAGGTAAAAAGGTCAAACTACATAACGGGACATCGGTATTCAATACAAAGTAAACACAAAAGCTTTTTGCTGCTATGAATGTAAATAAAACATGTTTGAAATGATTTATGGCATGTAAATGATTTTACTGACATTTTTAAAAATAAATTGCTACAAAATTCGGTAATTTTCACGAGAATCATTATTCGTCTGCTATAATATAAACATGGGAAATACAGAGGTGCCAGACTACGATTTCGACGATCCATTTCTTCTTTTGCAAGCCCTGTTTGAAAACGAAATTGAACTTGAAGAAGTGCCTGCACCAATTCCTTCCGGAGAAATACCTGTAGAATTATTACCTAGTACAAAAATAGTCACAACACAACAGCCAGATCCTAAACCACAAAAAAGGTTTAAAAGAGTCTCGGATGAAGAAATTATAGCCTTAAAAGACAATAGAGAAGCAGAATCAATAAAAAGAAATACCAAATTACCAAATGGGCAGTTAAAATCTTACAAGGTGTGAATATTGTATAATTATCAAACACAAATTCAACTAAATAAATCATCAATGAAATGTAAAAGATGCATACATGTACATTGTATATGTGTGACAAATATTTAATCCGGGAATCTTTCAATTTTAAATTGAACGCTCTATCTTTGAGCTATCTGAATCTGTAATTGCATATACACGTACAATGTATATACTTCTTTTTTAATATAAATATAAGAAGATGTGGTATGATTGCCAATGAGACAACTCTCCACAAGAGACCAAAATGACACAGACATTGACAACTATAGGTCACGGTACGGCCTTCTACAATGAGCAAAGCCTATACTCATAGTCAGCTTTGAAAGGCACCGAAATGCGAAATATAAAACAATTCAAACGAGAAAACTTACAGCATAATTTATGTACAACATAATGAACGAAAAGTATTTACTTACAAATTGTAACTTTTTTCTCAAGATAAAATTATTATTTTGTTAATTTTCACAAGTAATTCTGTTTTTTGTTACATAATGGATCAGTGAAGTCATTGAAACTGAAGTAGACTTGGCTTTGATATCTTCTTGTAATTTGAACAACAAATTGGGCAGATTTTATGCAGAGACTGCCCCTAAATTCGCAGAAAAGAAGGAAGAAGACATGGCGTCAGATCAGGCTAATGAATACCATAAGAATTCATTCAAAAGTATAACGGCTAGTACAGTCCGTGTAACGTAAAGTTAACAATACGAACGATGCCCAAATCATGTACGGACGATGCCCGAACGATGTACGTAGGCTTCCCGAACGCTGTACGAATGCAAACGAAACGCTGACCGAACGTTGTACGGACGCTGAACGAATGATGTACGAACGAAACCATGTACCATAAACCATACCATAAACGATAACATAAGCGCCCTTTTGTCGTACATCGTATGGTTTTGCGTACATCGTTTCGTTTAGCGTATATCGTATCGTTTAGTGTCATCGTTTCGTTTAGCGTATATCGTCTTTTAGCGTACACCGTTTCTTGACGTACATATTAAAAAGAAGATGTGGTATGATTGCCAATGAGACAACTCTCCACAAGAGACCAAATGACAGAAATTAACAACTATAGGTCACCGTACGGCCATCAACAATGAGCAAAGCCCATACCGCACAGTCAGTTATAAAAGGCCCCGAAATGACCATGTAAAACAATTCAAACGAGAAAACGAACGGCCTAATTTATGTACAAAAAATGAACTAAAAACAAATATGTAACACATAAACAAACGACAACCACTGAATTACAGGCTCCTGACTTGGGACAGGCACATACATACAGAATGTGGCGGGGTTAAACATGATAGCGGGATCCCAACCCTCCCCCTCATCCTGGGTCTGTGGTGCAACAGGACACTACAAGAACTGTACAAAACAATAAACAAATAACGCATATAATCAACAGCAACAACCACTCAATTACAGGCTCCTGACTTGGGACAGGCACATATGGAATGTGGCGGGGTTAAACATGTTAACGGGATCCCAACCCTCCCCTAACCTGGGACAGTGGTGTAACAGTACAACATAAGAACGAACTATAAAAACCAGTTGAAAGAGGCTTAACTCATCAGATGGATAAAAATACAAATACTACAATTACAAGTGGACGTGGCCGGGTACTTGTACATCCAAACAACAAAAAGACACTAAGTACAGGTCTGAGAGTACTCGCAGTTCCTGACAGCTAGTTCAAAGCCACTAACAACTAATAAAAAATCATGCATCTAAGACTAAATTATCAATCCGTACACATCCAGCATCCAATGGATTTAGTGTAAAGACGTCATAAACAGTCAGAGAAAAACATGACCTTGTGCAATGCCAAGATACATGTATCGACAGATTGTAGATCCATGAATGTGTATATGTATATAACAATAATATTTAGTTTGCTTTTAATTTACTGATAACAAAATCAATGTCAGTACCAATAAAAACAATATTTAATGATCTAATTACAGTGTTTCGTTTAGCGTATATGTTTTTTTTAAGTATAAAACATGAATTGTGTTTATATAGGTGATCAAAGTCGTAACATTTAGATTGGATGCATATTTCAGTTTTTAACTAATCATTTAATAAATTATAAATTAATCTGACTCGATGTTGATCCAAACATTTTTACATAAAAGGTTTGAAAAATAAACACTGAAATAAATTTAAACAAATTAAAAGATACGATTATGAATTTTGTTAGCCATGGAAGAACGTACTTAGTGATAGTGCGGGTTAACTGCAGAATGCAGGGTATTCAGTAAACATTTTTTTGAAAATAGCATAAGGTATTTACATTCTTTTGACCTAAATGAACCATTTATTTTAGATGGAATTCGGAATTAATCTAAAGTTCTTACAAAAGTATATTCGGGGTCTTAAGGTTTGCCTTTTCTTCAAAAGGTTTGTTAATTATTTTTATGTATTCTCTTTTATCGCATGTATTTTAACATCGACTGAATAACAGTTTTATCTATATAGCGTAATTAAACCATTTTTGTTTTAGATTATAGATATATTTTTTATTCATCTATCAAATCATTCGAAAAAAATCAAATATTCGAGATTTCAAATAAAAATTACCCGTTATGTGCCTCATCAACTCTATAACATAAAGCCTTACCAATGTACAAACGATAGTGTATTATCTTTACTACAAATGCACTTGATTTTAAACAATCATCAAAAAAGAGCGCGTCCGGCAAATGAAAAATTTCAAATCTTAAGTGAAATTATAATTGAGCGTCTTCATTTTTGTATTTTCTAACAACAACAAAATCTAACAACCACAAAGATAGACCATTTCCCATTTTTCTTTAATTTTCTTAGACCATTTTCCTCTATTCTTTATTTTGCCCGTTATACTCGATTCTTATTTTATGTATATTTTTTTATTTTCCTATATCTATACCACCTTTATTCGAAGCAACCCCACCCTAAATATACATTTGCTACACAGGATCTATAGGTTATCGCTTGGTGCCGTGATACACATGTTTGCATAACAAAGGATGTCCTTGTTCATATTTATAACATTTCAAATGTCCTCCTAATAATACATCTAATAGTTGCCACTTGACGTTAAACAGCTAACTATAAATTCATCCGTCATATTCTTAGTTTTGTTATAATGTGTAAATCAAACAACATAATGAAAACAATTGCAGATTTTCACCTCCGAAATAATGGAAAATAATTGTACACAAAACCGTACAATCACATCCCTACGTCACAAAGTCACATGTAAATAAAGTATTTTCATTAATCTATTTCAAAATAATTTTAAATAATTTTAAATCAAACGGTCATTTTACTAATTTGCCAAAAAAAACCAAACTTTTTTTTCATTTCTTTTTTTAAACAGATCGCTTGTTTTTCAACGGTCGGTGCCTGACAGCATTTATAAAATCTATCACCATTTTTGCCAGTAAGAAAGCTACATAGAATAGAACAAAAACAGTGTCTTAGAAATACTTCCAGACTCAGTTGTTTAATGCAAAAAAGGTAACTCCTGAATACTGCATTTGTACCCATCAAGCATTTGGGATTAATAACAAATCGATGGTAGTCTCTTTTACTTAACTAACAACGTATTAGACTAAATCATATTTTATTGGCTGTAATGAAAATTGCTTATTGCTGACGAATATTAAATATTGATCCCTAGATTATCAATTTTTTAGTTGCTGGGTTACTGTCTGATTTTGACATTTTATGGTCATTATTTTTCGCATCTAATTGCACCAACTAATTAAAAATATACTAACGCGACATAACCGTAAGAGAGTCTACATAAACTACTAGTATATTTTTTATAACGCTTCTCGAAATTCGCCTTGGAGTTATTGTGGTTCTCTTTTGACAAAATATGGCCGTCTCAAAAACAAAAAAATACAATATAATATAGAATAATATTTAAAACTGGACTAAAGTGAAGAGTTGGAAAGTAGGAATTCCGAATTTTAATTGAATGTTCTAAATCTTTGTGTATTTCTGATATATGATTGTACAGACTCAAAAATTTCTTTGTTTTGCTGAAATGAAAGGTCACCGTCATCAGCCAATAGAAGCAAAATGAATATAGCATATCTTTCTAATTTAAAAAAAAAAAATAGTGAATACTATCCTCAACAAGATGGCCACAGCGGCATGCGGGATTGGGTTCAATTTTAACAAGGTTTAAATCTGCATTTGAAGAACTGCACATATTTCTCTAACATGTATCAATGATATTAAGATTTCTATCACCACAACTAAAATAGGAAGTGCGTAGCTACGTTTACGTCAATACTCCCGGGCGTGCATATGAAAACAATCTAAAACATTAAAGGAATTGGTTAAATCCAAACAAACATATAATTGAAGATAAAGGGAACTAAA